AACAAAATTATAATTATTGAAATTTTATAACTGGGTCCCAAATTAGCGACCAAAGTTGGTCTCAACCTGTTTTTTCTTTATATAGCGACCAACTTTGATCGCTAATTTTAAATTTTATTTATTTATATTTTGTTTTTTTTTAAAAATAATGTTATAATTATTAAAATTTAATAAGTGGGTCCCATGAAGCGACCAACATTGGTCGCTAATCTGAGTAATTCTTTGACCAAGCAAGTCTGACCAGTCCGGTCAACAGTTTGACAAAATTTTCGACCAAGTTGCGACCAACGTTGGTCGCTAATTTATTTAAAATCATTATTTTATTATTTTCACCAGTTTAACGACCAACTTTGGTTGCTTTTCTTGGCAAACCAACTTTGGTTGCTAAATTTTGGCCGCTTTATGCAGGAATTCTAGTAGTGTATAATAGTGTACTGTTGCAGTATAGCTATATACTCCTACAGCATATTGTATACCGTAGCGGTATACTGTAGCTGTGTTCTTCTTGGATTTTCAACTGAAAATTTCGATCTCAATCACCTCAAATCAGTCCAAATGCTATCAAATTTCAGTATGAACTTCCAGAAGGTACTATAAGCAATATTTAACAACACCCACTTTGAATCAAACAAGAAATCTTCAAAAATAAAATTGAGCTTCAAGCCCAACAATGGTGGATATTCAAATACACACAAAAATTTAGATCTGGGAAGCTTACTCGAAGATACTATAAGCAATATTTTATAGCACCACATCGAATCAAACAATAAATCTTCAAAAAAACTATTTTCTTCCTTAAAACTTTACTATAACATATAAACTTGTTACCAGATTATTGGGGCGATTTAGAAGGAGAAGATATTGGGGCTTGAGAAGGTGCTTTTGTGATTTGAGCCCCACCGGAATTTAACACAAATATAGAAGAACTGCAATAGCAAATAATTTAGACATTTTGTATTGCAATAAAATGAGAAAGAACTGAATAATGGCCGGGAAATTAGAAGGAAGAGAATAAATAAATTCTGATGTTTTGGCTGATGATTAATGTGCGATGAACACGAAGGGAATGTTCGGGCAGATATATAGGAAGTGAAACTAGCGGGTAAATAGTTTGGGGAGTATGGGTAGGAGTAGTAAATAGTTTGGGTCTGAGTATTAAAGGATAAATAGTTTGGAATTAGTAGGTATAAAGTGAGATTTTCTCAAGTAATTAAACACGTGACATTCAGGTTTAAGGCCCAACGTGGAAATAATTAGTTGATGCCAGCTATGAGATTCGAACCAAAAATATCTGCTTATTCTAATATCATGTTGCTTTGGGTATCAATTTAAAACTATCAACTCAAATCATATAAGGAGTAATAGATAAGAGACCTCAACTACTACACTTCCTTCCAAAGTTAATCTGATTTTTCCGTAGGCGAAATGGCTTCCTGGCTACTTAAATTTGTCGGATTTTTTAGAGCCGATACATAAACTTTCTATTTTCCCATTTGAACACTCGAACTCGTTTTTTCCATAACTAATAAACACATCTGACAAGAGATCATGTGCGCGTGTATTACACATACACATACGTATCCATCCAATAGCAAATGACCAATGGATGTCTTACACGTCGGCAAACTCAAAATCAAAATGGATCAATAATAAGGAAAAGTCAAGCAGCAACTCCTTCTCTTTGACTGTTTTAGCGTTCTTCTTCATCCCATTAATTACCATTTCAAGCTAATTCCAACACCCCTAGCAACAGAACGCCTATCTCTGCTCCTTTTTCTTCCCTTCACCACACAACACTCCACCTGATCAATTTTCTTCCTCAATCAAAAGTCGAGGGCTATTTGGAGGTTTGTCGTGGTTCAGTTTTTTCAGCGAAGTTCCGGTTACTCGGAAGTTTGCTGTTTCGGTTGCCGATTGAGGTTCTGTTCGTGGTCGTTGGTTCCTGATCTTGACCGCTAGCGCCGTCCTGAATTTTTCCGACTCTCAGAGTTGAAAGATGCCATTATTGGGTTCAAGGAGTTCAACGAACTTGGAAGGGGAAGTTATGGGGAAGTTCAAAACTTAGCTTCAACTCTGCAATGACAAAATATACAACTTTCCACCATTTTTACGGTCTGAAAAAATGTAAAAAATTGAAAATGGAGCTTCAGATTTTTAAAAATGGAGGAAGGGGGTATTTTAGAAGGAATAAATAAGAACACAATTAAACACAACCCATTTTGTACTGTTGGGCGTTGGGAAGGGGATTTTCACGCTCCTGTGTGTCGTGTTCCTCACGCGGGCTGCTGATTAGGACCAACTGACGCCACATGAGCATGGTCAATAGCCAAATGTGTTTATTAGTTATGGAAAAAATAAGTTCGAGTGTTCAAATGGAAAAGTTATAAGTTTATGTATCGGCTTTTAAAACCCGGACAAGTTTAAATGGTCAGGAAGCCATTTCGCCTTTTCCGTATCAGTCATGTTTAAAAAGGAAACCAGACTTTTAATTCTGCCATAGAGGGTAAAGGTCCTGTTAATTATGACCAGTTTTGCGAAGTATCTATCTTTCTGAAAATGAAATACTTTCATTGGTTGAATGTTTGCTTTCTGAAAGCCTCTCAGAATTATCAAAAAGGGATAAATTATCCCCTTATAGACAACTTGCTTCGAGATTCTTTAATAGTGGAGTGGTAATATTCTGCAAAATTTGCAGTAGGAATCTATGTAGGTATACAGCAAAAACAGTCTGATATGTAAGAACATAGGAGATTCAGGTCCCAGCCCTACTTTTCTCCCTATAACCCATCTGCTATGGCTCACTGCTCCTCTTTCCAATGATTGGTAATCATTGAGAATCTTTTTTACTAACGATGGTGCATCTCCTCGTCCTAGTAGTACATGTATTGCCTAGATGACTTCTCAGAAGTCAAAAGAGGTAAACCTTTGCCCAGTCATGTTCCAGTAAAAGTGCAAGTACACAAAAGATGGATGGAATCTCTGTCTTTGAATAAAGGGAAAAGTATTTGTTCAAAAGATGTTTAGTGGCAAGGACGGCTCCATATTGAACGCAAAGGAAATGCACCATCTTCATCTCCAGTTATGTACCTAATATTTGACATTTTTGAAAAAAGTATATATTAAAATTCCACAAGTTGTGGAACATATCCCCACAAGTTGTGGAACATATCTCCAAAAGTTGTAGAACAGTGGTTTAAAATCCTGAATTACGCTTGTCTGACATGGACAACCCTCACACAAGTTGTGTGAGGCACAAAGTAAAATTTGGGCCCCAATGAAAAGCATTGTAACAACTGATGAAATTCCAATATGTTGTACAATTATGATGAAGATCGGAGAACATAATTGCATAACAAAAAAGTCCAACCAGAAAATATGGTCTACTGCCAAAGGAAGCCTCAATATTCTAACAAGAAACTTTTGCATATGGAAGGACTAACATCCAAAGGAGAACATAATGTCATCATATATCCATTGGTGCAGCACCTTCATTAGTAGGGGCGACCGCTTCAGGTACTGCTGATTCGGCATCAGCAGCTGCATCTGTGCTTGCAGCGGGAGCTTCTTCACCAGCTAACTCAAATTCATTGATTAATCCTTGGATAGTATCTTTATCCAACATATGGAAAGGCTCTCCTATACCTAGCACAGCAACAGTACAGTTCGTGCTTGTCAGCTTTTCTCCTTGCAAAGTCTCCCTCAATGCAAAAAGTGCATCCTTAAGCAGACTTCCTCGTGAAGAATCCGTGAAACTCCCATACCTACGCTCCAAGTATGTTTTTGCAGCTTGTGACCGAGATCCAATGGCAAAAGCTTGATATTCAAAGTAGTTACCACTAGGGCAATTATAATAGAGGTGAGCGCCAGATTCATCTAGCCCACCTACAAGCAGGCCAACACCATAAGGTCGTTTCCAGGATCGTTGGGTACAAACCTGCCACCAAAAAGATGTCAAGAGACTATAGACATATAAGAAGCATCAACCTTTTGAAATCAGATAGTTCCGTATATCAAGCAGCAACATATGTATGTCCGATTTAAAATCTAACAAAGGGAAACAGACAAATTATTGGGTGCTAAATGTCCTACCTCTAATCTCAAAACGAGTTCAATTCTGCAAAGGTGCTCACTTAACACTAATATATCAGAAAATTTTTGTAGGGTGCGGCTGTCTACATAACATCCCTTAGGGTGCGGCCCTTCTCCGGACCCTGCGTGAATGCAGGGTGCTTTGTGCACCGAGCTGCCCCTTTAAGGGAAATTTGCTGTTATTAAGGAGGCAAAGGATGAAATTTCTTTAACTGATACTTGGGCATCGAAGCTCTAAAGCAGTTTTTTCCCCC